TATGGGAGGAGGCGATCCCTTAGGTAGGTTGGACCTAGGCCATGTAGGACTTTATAGGTCATTACCAACACCTTATACTGTGCTTGGAAACTGATAGCAGCCAGTGAAGGGATTTCAAGATTGGAATAATAAGCTCCCTTCTCGATTTCCCGGTGACTAACCTGGTTGCCATATTTTGTACCAGTTGTAGTTTCCGAATATAGGTATAAGGGTAGCCCCATGTAGACTGCATTGCAGAAATTGAATCGTGAAGTTACCAGTGCATACACTACAGTTTCTAGGTCCTTTGTCTCGAAGTAAGAGTGCAGTTGGAGTATCTGCCGAAGCTGATAACAGATGCTCCTGACTGTCGCATTCACCTGAGCAGTCATGTGAAGCGACGAGTCTAGGAGCACCCCTAAACTGTGAACACAGTCCTTAGCGGAGATGCCCAGGACTGGAGGTTGCAACCCAATACCAGGTTTATGGGTCCCTACTGTAAGCACCTCCATTTTCTCTGGATTCAGTTTGAGTTGATTTTTCCTCATCCAGTCCATTACCACTACAAGACAGTGACTGAGGGGAGAAATACCATCTGTCGTCATGGCTGATGACTGAGATAGAGTCATAGCAGTTAAGGTGGTGTTAACCTGCTTTAATTCTACAGTATGGCTATACCCTACATCTCTGAGGAATGAAGTTTAGTCAAAGCAGAAGATTAGTGATTAATGAAATAATGTCTGCTTATTTTTCAAGTGTAACCCAAGAAGGCCAAAATTATTCTTGTAAAATTTGGGATTTTTATTGAAACAAAATGAAATAAATATCTACCATAACCTTTGCCTGTGTTTGAGCATGACACTTATTAATCAACAAAATGAATGTTTGATCCTTTTTTTAAAAAATCCTGAAGTGTTCAACTCCATTAATAATTTCTAAAAATGACTGCAATATGCTTGAGGCACCTTTTCATAATTTACAATTTAAAGCTTCATGACAGTTGAGATCCAGTAAAGCCTACCTGTTTACTTTCCTGCCTGTCTATCTACCTACCTATCTATTTCTGTTTAGACAATAATTCCATTGGAGCAGAGTCTGGTTTTTTGTAAAGTAACATATAAGTATGATGGAAAAGCAATTAATGGATCAAAATATTAACACAGAAGTGTTTCTTGGTGTCATATACTTAGTTCATGGCTCAACAATAGAATAAATTCTTGCAGAGCCTCCTGGAAAAGGATAAACATTTCTCCTTGGGTAAATACTTTTGCCAGGAGCACATGGGAATCAGAGATGGTAAGAATATTAGAAAATGTTCAGAAAATATTTGAATAGTGTTTCTTGAGTGTCAGGACCCCCTGATAAAGACAGCCCTGACCTAATAAGAATCTTCATTGTGTGTGATTTACTTCTGTACAAAATTCACATGCTCACACACAAAAGTGTGAATTTCCACAGCTACATTTTCTTTTCAAAACATTTTCTTTGCAGAAAATAGTATTTCTACATATAAATGCCAATGTCAGTTTTGCTTACTACAGTCACAAAGGAATAGACTGCAGAAGTTAAAAAGGAAGAGTAAAAAATTAATCCATTTATTCAATTACAGACTTGGCAAAACATTTACTCTTTACTCTTCCTACACCTTTTTTAAAAAATCATTATTGAACTTTTTCCAGTACATTAAAAGAAGAAAAAGAAACAAAAAAGAAAAAGCACAAGAAGAAGGAAAAAGCAGTAGAAATAAAGGGGGGAGAAAAGATTACATTAACTTCTGACTTTTCTAACAATGGCTATTTCTTATATATAAAATCTTACTTCTCCATTTACAACAATACCATATACTTCTTCAGTTTAGCTAACACTAATCCTAGTAGTAGCAGCAACAGTAGTGTAGTGGTTTGCACATTGGACTATGACCAGAGAGACCTGGGTTCAATTCCCTGCTTAGCTACGGAAACCCACTGTCTGACCTTGGGTGAGTCACACATTTTCAGCCCCAGAATAATCTATGATCGTTTCACCTTAAGCTCACCCTAAGTCAGAAATCTGAAGGCATGCAACAACTAGAAGTAGTAGTTTAAGCAGAGGCTGGATGGCCATCTGTCAGGAATGCTTTGATTGGGAGTTCCTGCATGGCAGGGGGTTGGAAGAGACCCTTGTGGTCTCTTCCAACTCTATGAATCTATGATTCTACTTTATTAATACTTAGACCATAAGCCGTTCTCATCCAAAATAAATAAATGTAATAACCCTACTAATAATAAAAACATTTTTATTATCATATGAAACAGGCAGGAACATTCCTTTATTCCTCCATAGCCTAGATCTCAGTCTCACCTTAATAAAAAGCCCTGCTCCTTTCCTTTCCTCAGCATTATCTCTTATGTACCCTTATTAGACACCTCGTTTGTGTCAAAGGTCTAGGAACCTCAGTGCTTACTCCAGGGTCTAAATAGGTTAGTATCGTTGGTAGCATGTTTCTGAAAAAAATACCACACAGACCGTGTTTGTGATTATATGAAAACAAATTATGTCTTTTATTTAATAACAAGTATTAAATGTCTTAATCAAGATCCAATTCAATATTCTTTTAGTTATATCAGATGTCAGTTCACTAAATGAATATATTACAAAAAGTTCTCCTTCAGATATTACTTCCTCTGAGTCTTACATCACATCACATCACAACACACAACCTCAACCCCTTCCTTTTGAAGGTGCTGGCTTGGGCCTCACTTAAACCTCTCTCTGACATCCCTCTCTGCTAATTCTTTAAACTCACTTGTTCTTTTTCTTTTCTCAAGAGTTCTTATCCCCTCCCATGCCTTTCCACTGAGAAAGGCTGGATGCTTCATCTGCCCAGCCACTCATGTCAAGTTTGGTTGCAGCTCACTAGATGCCCAGCCACTCATGTCAAGTTTGGTTGCAGCTCACTCAAAGGGGTCTCCGTCACAACATGTATGTGTGTTGTGTTCCTTCAAATCTTTTCCAACTTATGGCAACCCTAAGGTAACCCTATCACTGTGTGTTCTTGGTAAGATTTGTTCAGAGGAGGTTTACCATTGCCTTTCCCTGAGGCTGAGAGCATGTGATTAGTCCAAAATCACCCAGTAAATTTCATGGCCAAGTGGAGAATTGAATTATGATTTCCAGAGTCGTAGTCCAACACTCAAATCATCACACCATGCTGGCTCTCTCTGTTACAGCATATTATCCTTATATTTCTGTAAAAAGGCTATTAAATATTTCCACAATTATTAAAATCTATAGTTAACATGTTGTGCTCAGTTTTCTACTAAAAGACAATGAAAAATTCCCAGTTTTTTAGAAATATCACTAGTAATTTTTCTCTAATCATAAATAAGTTATCCAAATCCAATGGATCAAACAATTTCAATATTTTGTTGACTTTGCAATATTAACATTACAGATAAATTCTTTCCACTTTAATTCCACTCTGTACAGTTATACAAATATTATTTTTCTATACAGAAAATTCTTTTTCCTGTGCAGAAAATGCTGCTTTATGAGCAAGAACACCATGTGCAAATTTAGCTAAAATGTAAAAAATGCAGAATGATAGATGCTGGAAATGTGAAGAGAGTACCAGTACATATTTCCTCATATGGTGGAATTGTCAGCTAACTAAAAATATTGGGGAAAAACATTTGGTTGATGATGTCAAAAATATTAGGAATCACATTACCTGCCAACCCAGAGTTTTTTTCTATTGAATATGACATATATGATGGACAGAGAAACAGAAAATATGTACTGGAGAATAGTTGTATACATAACTATTGCAGCAAGGCTTTTTTTTTTTTTTTTTTTTTTTTTTTTTTTTTTTTTTTTTTTTTTTTTTTTTGCAAAAGTAGAAAGTTAAACACTCACTATTGGTGACTGGATTAGTAAACTGATAGATATGAGAGAGTTATACAGACTATCTTGGAATATCAATAGGAATCTGATAAACAGTTTAGAGGAATTTGCTTGGGACAAAACAGGCAAAGAAATAGAAAGCAAATACATTCAATCAAAGTTGAAGCTGAGATATAGATTCAGATTATAATGGAATACTACACTTTAATAGAAAGAAGACAGACACAAAATATTAATTAAAGAGTTTAATAATATAAGAAATGAGAGAAAGCTTTTTTAGGGCAGAGAAAAAAACATAGGTTTTAAAACTTAAATGGTAAGGATATATTTGAAATATAGGTTGATACTTTGAGTGTGAAAATATTGTTGGCTTAGGTTATAAGCAATCTCAGTTATATTGCTGAGAAGTGAAATAGGTTTGAAACATTGTATATTATACAGAGATGAGTTAAAGCAAATGCAGGTATATGCCATTTTTAAATGTTATGTTTGTAGAAGATGTAATAAGTGAATGGAATATGTACGGAAAAGCTTTGTTATAATAATATGTACCATGTGCAAATTTTGCCCAGGAAGAGTCCCAAATTTTGAATAGTCTTTAAAAAATACACAGATTTTGAAAATGTTCTCACAGCCGGAAGAAAAATGCTAAAATTACTCATTGCTTCCTTTGAGAAGAAAATTTGTGAAAATTACATCCCTAATGGAAACATCATTTCTATAAACTGCTACTTCAACATGGATAGTATATTTGTTGAATTTCTGTTCCCATGAGGGCAGCAGCTTAAAATATGTATACAGTACAGAAATCAGGGTTGCTGAGTCTAAACATGTGAAATAAACTTTCAGAGTCAAACAAGTGTTCAATCTAGCCTACTCAGCACTCCTGCCAGCAAACTTGCAGATGACACCACTTTGGGGGGAGGGTTTGCTAATACCCCAGAGGGCAGGATCAAAGTTCAAAATGACCTGGACAGATTGGAGAACTGTACTCAAAGTAACAAAATGAATGTAAGGTACTACATTTAGGCAAGAAAAATGAAATGTATAAATATAGGATGAGTGACACTTAGCTTGCCAGTAGTACATGCGAAAAGAATCTAGAGATTCTAGAGGTCTTAGCAGACCAGAAACTAAACATGAGTCAACAGTGTAATGCAGCAGCCAAAAAAAAGCCAATGAAATTCTGGGACTCTTTCAACAGGAGGATAATGTCCCAGTCAAGGGAAGCATTAGTGTCACTCTATTCTGCTCTGGTCAGACATCAGGTGAAATAGTGTGTCCACTTCTGGGTACTACAGCTCAAGAGACATTTTGAGATGTTTGAATATGTCCAGAGAAGGGTGACTACATAGTTGTCTACACTGGAGAGAAATCCCATACTCACCCTGTTGTCATGCACAGTTCCCAGTCCATAGCAACTCTGATAACACCAGACTCACTGTGGCAAGATTGGAGCAGCACAGAAGAAAAGGGTGGTCCTGTGATGATTACATGCCCTATAGTTCACAGTATTTCCAGCCACATGGCCATGTCCTCACTGCCAATCTGGATTTTCCAGGCAAATGTGGGATAAAAGGCAGTTCTTTTGTCTCTGATGTTTTGGAGAAAAGCTCCACATTGCCTGTGAATACTGAGGAATGTATGATGCCTAGGTTGCAACTGCTTCAGGTGAGTATGAGATTTCCCACCGGTATAGATAAGCTCAAAACCTTATGATGAGCAACTTAGGGAATTTGGTATGTTTAGATTGGGGAAGACTGAAACTGACATGATAGCAATCTTTAAATAACTGAAGGGACATCATGTAGAAGATGGAGCAAGTTTGTTTTCTCATGCTCCAGAACACAAACTAATGGATTTAAATGACAAGAAATGACATTACACTGAAACACTAGGAAGAATTTGTTTATTTATTTTACTGTAATTGCTGTGCAACAGTGGAATAGTTTGATTTAGAAGGTAGTGGACTCTCCATCTTTGGAAATCTTTAATCAGAGGTTGGATAGCAATCTTTCAGGAGTGTTTTAGTTGTGTATTCCTCCATGTTAGATTGGACTAGATAGTTAGATTGGACTATTATTCTACCATTTTTGAAACAAAATACAAACTTCTTCCTTTATGTAGTGTATAGGCAGTGAAGAATAGAGCCTGCTTTATGAATTTGTTCTAGGCCTTTTGCTTGGAGAGTGATGATAGACATAATTTTACCTACTCTCTGTGTAATAAGAGATCTGCCAGAGTATGACACATAAGATTAGACTTTCTGCTGTGATTAATCAAATTCACTCAGAGTAGTAATGTTGCCCTCTCTCACTACTGCACAAAAACAGTGGGATAAAATATAGTCATAAAAAAAGCATTTGGGGATCTATAGTAGATGCTGTTATCTTCTGTACTGAAAGGTATTTCGCCTGCAGAAGAGCTCTCGCTACTGCTACCAACATTTAAATTACTATTAAGAAGCAAAACTCTATTTTAAAATCAAATTCTATATAGCTTTCTGCAGATTAAAAGAGGCAGAAGCATCAACAGTGCCTAGCAGTTATGATTTTCATTGCAACATTCTATCTTCCACTTCTTAAAAAATATAAAAGTTATTTTGGAGGAGAGGGAAGAAATTGAGAAACACAAATTTTACTAGGAATCTGGGGAAGGCTGGAGGGAGTGGGCATTTCTCTTCTGTACAGAAGAAAAAGATTTTCATCATGATGTTGTTAATTGTTTCCTTCTAAGAGAATGTATTCATTTTAATTATTTTGTCTAGTACAGATAATAGGTCAGGGAGCATTACAGTTTCTTTCAGTCAGCCTTCTTTAAAAAAATCTGATCTACCTTTAAAAATAGTCTGACACATACACCCCGAATTGGCAGCTGAAGCTCTTCAAGGCATAGGAGCACATTTTACAAAATTTGCAGACTAATTACAACTATACCAAAAGCCTCTCACAAGGAAGCTCATTTTCCTCTTCCTCCTCTGCCTAGCCTGACATTTTTAAAGCAACATTGGCATGATGGAAAAGGAGAGCTGGAGAAGCACAGGCTTTTGGTGCTGCAGTACAGTAAACAAAG